CCGCAGCCGCCGCAGCAGCAGCTGCTGCTGCGGCAGCGGTGGCGGCGCTGTACTGCTGCTGCGCGCTGCGAGTGAGGATCCCCTCGTGCAGCGACTCAATTGTGTGGTCGGGCCGTTTGTACCATTCTGCGAAAGGGTTTGCAAGCGGGAGACAAAGGGGTGGGTCCGAGAGGGGAGATCAAAGACCCCTTCAGTTGGAGAAGGTGTGGAAACGCAGGGGAACATGCACATACGCACGCTCTCACGTGGCGGGCGGAGGGCGGTCGCTCGCCCCCCGCGCAAGGCGAATGGGGGCACGCCCTCGCCGCCGCCGAAAAACACACGCGCCGGCCGACTCGCCGGCGCCCCCCCGGCGGCAGTGGGCGCAGAGGGGAGCAGCAACGGCTCACCCGACTGCAGCATCTGCCGCCGGGCAGCTATCAGCCGCCGCCGCCGATCGGCCTCCTCCTCTGCGGACCCCTCGTCCTCGTCACCCTCTGCCTCCCTCTCTTCTTCACTCGTCAGCCGCCGCCGCCGCTGCGGCCGGGGGTCTTGGAAGCCGGCAGACCTGGAGCCACCCGCTGCCTGCTCCGCCCTACCGCCGCGCCAGTCGCCGCCGCCTGCCGCCTCGTCGTTTCCAAACCCCTGCTGCCGCCGCCCGTCCCGCTCCCGCTCCTCGAGCCTACGCCGCTGCTGCAGCAGCGCCGCCCGTCCGCCCCTGCCACCGCCGCCGCTGCTGCCTCGGCCGCCGCCGCTGTCTGCAGCGAGTGCGGGCGCGCCGCAAAGCGGTGCGATGCAAGTGAGATCCGGGGCGGCGGGGTGGATTTACGCCCTGTCTGCAGCTGCTATGTGAGCTCTGCTTGTCAGCATCAGCAATGCGGTTGAAATAAACCTCTACAAGCTCCCTCTCTGCGTGACGGTCCACTCAATTGGCACAATCGCCATGCAAACGCGTGGGGCGTGTCGGACATGGTGTGTGCGCTGCTTCGCCGCTGCTGCTGCTGCTCGTCTGCGCGGCGCACCTGACGTGTCCCGTTCGTAAGCGCAAACAACAATGTCTCTGAAACGTGATGCCATACCCCATCTAGGGAGGCAGCGGGCGCATGGCGCCCCCCGCGACTGCCAAGATCGCATGTCGAAAGCTCCACTACCGATGATGTCAATAGGTAGAGTGGTAATTTGCAATCTTTTCAAAATGAATCATCAGTGATGTAATCTGAGACCCGCCCTCCGTTCTTATTCACGAGTGACAAGCAGTGACCGGCTGCGCATCCCTCATTCGACATACAGAGGGGTGCCTCGCCATCAAAGACCATAACTAGCGTCATCAAGATGCTTCATGGTCGAGCAGCGCTGCTGCTGGGTCCTGCGTTGGCGCTGGCGCTTGCGTGCGCGAGCGCCGCTGTTGCAAAGGAGATTGGCTGCCGCAGCCGCTTTGGGTGAGTCCCCTCTTTTAATGCAGGGTTTTTTTGAATTATCAGTCTAAATATAAGCAGCTGAGATGCCTGTCATGGAACACCAAGGCTCTCTGAAAGCGTCCGCCATCACGGGGCCCAGCAAGCCGCTGGCCAAAGCCATGCACTGCGCTGGCTCCCATTGATCACGAGCTCGCACATGCCTTGCCCTCCGCGCCAACACCCGCAGCCCGTTTATCGAGGGTGCGGCGGTGGACAAGGCCGGCAACCTGCACGCTGTCGACTTCGGCCGCGACCGCGGCGCCGTCGGGCGCGTCGACGGCGCGAGCGGCGCGTGCGCGGCCGCGCCCGCCGCCGCCGTCCCATCCGCCATCCTCAACGGCCTCAGGGTGCTGCCAGACGGCTCCCTCTTGGCCGCTGTCACGGACCAAAAGCGCGTAGTCCGCCTGCAGGTGGGCGGCCGCGTGACGCAGTTCTGCGCCGACAACGCGATGGTCGCCCCCAACGACCTGGCCATCAGCCCCAAGACCGGATTTGTGTACATCAGCGGCCAGGCGTATAATCCGGACACCAAGGCCGGCGACGGGGACGTGTGGCTGTGCCGCAAGGCCGGCGCGGCGGCGGTCAGGTGCGTGGGCCGGGGCCGTGGGCGGGCAGCTTCGCACAGCAATATTTGGCGCGCTGCCACAGCTGGGCTTGAAATGAAGCGCAGCCGGCCTGGTCGAGCTTTCCATCTCGCATGAGTCCCAGATTATCCGCCCCTGCCTGAAGTCCCAGACCCTAGGACTGTCTGCTCAGTGTCAGCCAATCACATGACTCGCAGGTTGGCCCAGCTGGGCCGCACCAACGGCATCGAGGTGTCTGCGGATGGCAAGTGGCTGTTCGTTTCGGAGGCGTTCAACAAGAACAATGCGCCCGTCTCAAATGTGATCTGTGAGTAGTGGGAACATCAAGCGCGCACTAGTATAGCCACCTCTGTGGGTGCCACGCAGACAGTGCTCCAGGCCAGCGTTTCACTGGGACTCAGATACCTGATTTGTCGGCCGGTTGTGTGCCAAAGCAAGTGCTTATAAAGCTGCGATAACACCCCGACATGCACACGCACACCTGCATGGAGCTCGTGCGTTCTGCCCCGCCATTGCTTCCACACATTGCCAACGGGCCCCCTGCTCCTCCCGGCAGGGCGCTACCCCATCAAGGGCGACGGCACGCTTGACGCCGCGGGGCGGGGCCTCACCTTCGACTTCAGCCGAGAGGGCAAAGGCAACATCGACGTCGACGGCATGCGGCTGGACACCCAGGGTCACCTTTACGTAACCCGCAACAACGGCGGCGAGGTCGTCGTCATGGACCCGATGGTGACTAACAAGGTTATCAGGCGGATACCCCTGCCATTCAGCTCTCCCTCCAACCTCGAGTTTGGAGGCCCTCAGGGGCGCACACTTTTTGTGGTCGGGCGCTGCGGCGTGGGGACCCCTTGGGGCACTGGCAGCGGCTGCGTGGAGGCCGTCCAGGTGGCGGCGGCGGGGCAGTACTGGTCAGGGCTGCAGCAGGGGCTGCCCAGGCTGCAGCTGTAGGGTCAAGTGGGTCTTGAGACCGGGTCCAGCCGAACAGCTGCTCATTGCGGGGCGTTCCCCATCCCTGGTTGTTGGAATGGACACTAGTCACATCCCTTTTGCAGCCATTTTAGCTGCTGAGCCGGCGCCGCTTGCTGCAAAGCAGTGCCGCGTCTGAAGAAAACCCCAAATTCTGGTACTGTGCTTGCAACGCGTCCTTGTGCTGTTGCCCAACTTTTGGTCACGCCATGACTGTGGATATTATGGACATGGTTCCTTGCAGCCATGCCTGCTGTTGTGTGTCCTTGCGATATGATGGTTTGAAGGCAGCACTTTTCATGCAACCTTGGAATACACGATGGAAAATGATATCGCATTACCAGCTTCAATTGGCAATACAGCCAGTGAATTAATACACAAAAATATACTATTTGTGGGCCCTTTTGTGGGTCGCCACAGCAGAGTGTTGAGTTTGCATATACACAAGAGGGTGCAGCCAATCAGACACCACGGGTGCCGCCATTGGGGCCTGCCGCTGCCTCCTGCCGCTGCAGCTGCCCCTGCAGCTCCTCCGCCTTGACCCAGTTCAATGAGAATCGGTACTTCCAGGCCCGGCCGCCATCCAGGGGCAGCAGGAAGCAGTGCATGTGCAGGTGGTCCACCGACCGCCACGGCGGCTTGTGGAATCCGAAAAGCGTGCCGCCGCCGGCCCCGTCGAGGCCGCCCGCCTCTGCATCAAGCCCCGGCAATTCGCTCGGCCCCTCCAGCAGCCCCCGTGCCGCGCCCCCGCCGCCGCCGCCGCTGCCGCCGGCCGGCCCGCCCCGCCGCCCGAACAGCCGCTCGCAGCAGGACGGGCGCCGCACGCGGCCGCTGCCGCCGCCGCCGGCGTCCGCAGCCGGCTCGTCTGGGAGGCCTAGGCGCGCCTGTTCCTGGGCCAGGACTTGCTGCCCCACCTGCTGCATTCGTCGGACGAGGTCTGCGCCTGCCGCGCCTCGCAGGCTCCGCGTGTTGGGGATGTGCGCTAATGGGCACACGAGGATGTGCAGGCGCGCCGCAGGGCGGCGGTCGTAGATCGCAAACACCTCGTCGTCCTTTTGAGGGGAATAATAGGGTTGGATTGCGTTTTGTATACCCCACAGGACAGGGCGCAAGGCGCGAGGGACTCACTGCTGCTGGAGAGGCGCTCATTCCATTGAGGTCAAATCCTGCATACCGTATTCATGAATGCCCACAAGCCGCAGCACCCCCTGGCAGACTGCCTGGGGCCACTGAATATCGCGTATAGCGCTCCAACCTGGTACAGCACGCGCCCTGGATAGGCCTTGGGGAGGGTGCAGAAAATGCAGCTGCGGCTGTGGCAATCCTCTGCGGTGCCAGGACTGCTGCTGGCGCCTGCGCCCATGACGCCCGCACGGGGCGAGGGCCGGCGCAGCCCCTGGACCTGAGTGTAACACTGAGCCAAACCAATTTCGCAGCGTTTTGCTCCCGCTAACCGCGATTGTGGAGCAGCTAGCATGCGATCTTGAGTGCAAGTTTATTACTAGGCATGTGACGATTAGGCTAATCTGGATTTTGGATGTCTAATTAGACTCTAATTTAGCTAATGTCTAATTAGAGACTACATTAGCCTTCGAACTTAGAACCGCGGCAGCTCGGGCGAAGCTGGGGTAGGGCAGCACTGGTGGGGCTCTCTTGTGCGTTGTATACCTTCCATACCGCTCATAGTAATCATCTCAAACATATTGAGCAAGTCATACATCCAGGGCAGCGCAAGTTGAGAATGAAATTGCGATCTGACCTGGCGGCCTCTTCGGGGCAGTTGTGCTCTAGATGCGAGTCAGGTGTCGTTTCTGCCATAAATACATGAAATGCAAAATTGTGAGGATGTTGGACTGGCCACGTAATGGAACTCGTGTTCTGCCATTGACCTCAAGAGGGCGAAGCAGGGCCCTGCTGACGTGGGATCCCTGCCACAACCTTAAACGTAGGGCTCAGTCATGCTCAAAGTGCTGATCAAGTCATATATGATCCAATACGACACGTATGCCCAGTCTACGCGCGCCAAGTGGTGTGCAGCAAGCCAGATCACTGCCAGCAGCCTCTGTCTACCCTGCAAATGTCTAACCTGCAAATGTCTAAATTAGACCGCCGTTTTTCAGGATTTCTAAGTTAGAGTCTAATTTTAGCTAATTCTAACGGTCTAAATCCGAAGTGCACCACCCCTATTTATTACGTATGAGGCAAATAGCTGCACGGACGTTTTAATGCAGAGAAAAATAATACTCCAATCGAACCCGACCAGCTGACATGGAAAGCCCTTAACATCAGAGTGTGAGAGCCCCACCACCACCGTCGCCCGGATGACTCAGGTGATCAGGCGGCAGCACAGCAGCTGTGACACTATCGGAGTCGTCAACACTGGCCAAAAACACATGTTGAGCAATTTTTACAACATGAAGTTCATTGAGAAATCAATGAGGGGGCGCACATGGCTGCAATGTTGCTGGCAGCATTGACGGCTTTCTTGACTCATGCTCCACGCGACGTTCAACAGGGCGGGGCTGCCGCCTCTGGAGGCCATCACGGATTAAGAGCGACGGATAATGGTACAAAAAACAGGCGCTGATTCCCGCTGTCAAACAACAGATTCGTCCAGGCATGGTGCACATGCGATCGTCTCACGAAAACTGCAACAGGTTGCATGTTGAGCCAACACCCTGGCAGCTCACTCGACACGGCAGCGGCGCCATGCCCTCGCATAGAACTAGATATTCAAGAAGTTTTGACTTGTCTTGATGTAAGATTGCGGATAGTCTGGGATGTTTTGACAGCAGCAACTCAAGCGATACGCCCAAACCAGCATGATGATACCGCGGCCCCCACCCAACACCCACCCCCCTGGACCCCCAACTAAAGCACAAGCTGCGTGCGCTCCAACTCCAGGTGCAACACCTGGGCCGCTTTGTCTTGTTGCCCCATAGCACCCACTGAACCAACCCCCCAAACCCACCGTGCCCCCCCTCCAGCTGGCCCAGTCCAGGAGGGCAGCGCAGATACCACCACAGCTCAAGGCCGCCCCTGCGCTGCGAACTGAGCACCCCCCAAAGCCGCCCACTCGCGCCCCCAGGCCGCGCGTCCCCCGCCACGATCAGATGGATACGGAGGGGACCACCCCCTGGCTCGTGAGCCCGCCCCTCTGGTTGGGCGGCGGGCTGGGGATGAGTACGGTGTATGGCAGGCCGCCCGGCCTTGCGGCCCTCGCGGCGTTGCGCTCGGCAATGGCCGTCTCGACCCGCGACTTGACGTCTGCCACGTACTCCTTGTGGAGCGCGACTGCCTTCTCGTCCTGTGCAACAGGCGCGTGTGCCCGGTGAGCGGGTGAAGAGGGCAGCGGACACAACCTGTGGCGACGATCGATTGACCTTGGGCCTGCCTGAGCGGGGGCGAGTGGTCCACGTCCACCCCCAGCCAAATGATGCCACACCACCCTATCACACGTATGCTTCAAAGTGTTCCCCTTGATTTCCTTGAGCTGCAAGCAGTCAGGGCTGTACATCGCGCGTAAGAGCGTGGGCCTCACTGGGAAAATGGGTGCAATTGTGGCTCCTCACCGTGAGCCATCCGGACAGGTCTGATTCGTCGGTAATGTAGAGCTCCTCGTTGGAGTGCGTGGACAGCAGCAGCAGCACAAACATGTCAATCAGGGTCACCTGCAACAAGCAAGTGTGTGGGCGCTTGTGTGCGGGGCACTGTCTTTTGTTCATTTGTGTGTGTGTGTGTGTGTGTGTGTGTATGTATGTGTGTGTGTATGTGTGTGTATGTGTGTGTGTGTGTGTGCGTGCGTGCGTACGTGCGTACGTGCGTGCTGCGTGAATGCGTGCGTGCGTGCGTGGGTGGGCAAGCACACAGGTGTGTGCGTGCGTTGGTGCTGGACGGTGCTGCCTGCTTATTTTGCCGGCACGGCAAGGAACAACCCCTCCTTTTCCCCATTCCCATTCAGCATGTCGTATGATAGCCGGATTCCAGCTCCCATTCAGGAAGGGCTGCCACTGCTTTTAAAGTTGCTTTGGCATTCGCGCATGATAAAATTGTCAGTTTCTGTCAACAATGGCCATTTTCAAGCAATGGTCATCAATGCCTAAGTGGCGTTTCACCTGCAGGCACAGCATTATCTGTGGTGGTCTGCAGGGCTGCGCATTCCCCAAGGGCACTGCGCACCTCCTTGTTTGACAGGAACGACAGCAGCAGCTTCTCAAACTCCTTACTCTCCACCTTCAAAGACTTGAGCCTCTGGGAAGAGGATGCAACAGCGGCAGCGCGCGGGTATGGGCGCGCAGCAGCACACCAAGCAGTGGAGAGGGGCTTCACGTGGAGCGCCAGTCGTGACGGCGTGGTGATAGCACAGGCACCGTGTGGAACTGCCAAGGCAGGGCCAAGGCGCTGAGCCTCCCACAAGCGTGTGCACAGCAAGCACCAAAGGAGTGTGTGCGCTTTGCCAACGGCCCCGGGCACCAGGCTCGCTGAGGGAGGAGCATCAGTGGAGCGGACACACGGCTGAGTGCGAAGCTATCTAAACAACATGCACGGCAGGGCCCGCAACAAGTGCAGGCAACCACCTCGTAATCGCCGCTGCCCGGGATCGGCATGGGCTTGGCGATAAGCGACGGCCTGTTGGGCATGTATCCTGGAAGAGTTATGTGAAGGAAGTTTTGAGGGCGCCATTTCATAAGGTACGCTAATCTTTTATACGTAGTTAGCTGGTGGGTGTGCGGGATGGTAGCGGTGTTACCCATACGGCATTCACATTCAGCTTCGTCAGGACTGACAGCAGCCCAGCTGGCACAATCCAGATTGCCACCCCCCACCCGTGATTGACACAATCATTTCACATACAAAAGCAGGAGTGCAATTGGCGTCGTTTCAAGCTGGTGCAAGCGTGTGACCACCCGCGCACCTGAGTAGTCGTACTGGTCAAAGTTGACTGCCGAGTGCAACATTGGGATCCAGGCCAACGTGGTCAGCACGAACACCAGGTCTTGCCTGGTGTGGAGGCTGGGCCAGCCCTCTTTGATGTCAGGGTGGCCTTTCTGCCTGATGTCCTCCCACCAGCCCTGAAGGGACGACAGAAAGGGGAGTGACATTGGGCAAACATTGAAATTGGCCCAGGCACATGCACTGGGAGGGGAGAAGGTAGGGGCCGTCGCAAGAGGGGAAGTCAGGGGAAGGCGGGTCGCCAAGCAACCCATGCACTCGTTGCGCCCGCTGCGTACCCCTCGGAAGTGTGGGCAACACCGCCGTCCCGTCGTCCTGCATCTGTATTGTCAAAGCAGCGTTGCCCAGTACCAACCGGCCGGCCATAACCCTCCCAAACGCGCGTGCACACGCACAACAAATGCCATATGGCACGCCACACAAACACACAAATACACAAACCCACAGACACACAGACACAGACACCCAGACAGACAGACAGACAGACACACACACACACACA